GGTAAATGGTGACCGGGTAGGGATATGGTTTGGGTACTGGTGGGTGTAAAGGGTTGTGTCCTGCGGCCAATAGGGCATAGCTCGGTTACACTGTTTCCCTGTCTGTGTCGATTAAGGACCGGTCGTTGCATATGGCTCTAGGCAAGTCACAGATTATTGTCCCGAGCGTATACTTGGGTATGAGCGCAGGGAAGACTTGTTGCTCTCTTGCCACAAATCCGGCTCTTTCCGGATCGACTGATGGGAAGAGGAGGTGGTGGAGGTCCTTGCACTACACTGAGAGTGATGGGTTAGTCCTACTTGTGCCTAGGGTACAAGCAGGGCGTGTGTTTTCGGGGCACCCAGCTGGGCACTTGATTCATGAATCGCCGGGCGATCTGGTACGGCTTGTCTGCGGTTTAGCACCGTAGTAAGAACTGAAAGTTGAAAGAAGAAGAATTAGAACTGATTGCTCAACCCTTGCTTGAAAGTAGAACAGGTGCTTATATAGACTGGCTAGATGATGACTTAATACGACTGATAATAATAATACATAAATAAAGACTCACTATTAGTATTGCTTTCTGCTAAAGAAAACCAGCAAACCATAAAGCTTATCATATTCCTTGGAGTCGGGAAATTATTCCCATCGGGTAAGTCTTGCGAGTACATTGTGTACTCATGGTTTATTTACTCCTGTTGCAGGTGATGCTTGAGAAGTACCTTGTGTGGAGGATTCATCTGGTGGGCTCAGACGAATCCCTGTCCCTATCGCTAGATGTATATTTTTAAATTCCGATGTTTATCATTCCGCACTCTGGTATTTGGTATCGTAATAATGTACTTTTTAAGAAACTCTGATGTATGAAATGGATTGGTATTGTAACTCGTTCTCATTATTGGATCCTTGGAAAAAATATGGATCTTTCGAGTTCTTCCTCGGGGTGTGCCCGACGGACACCGCTCGTTGTAGCTTGCTTTCGGGGTGCTTAGTGTCTGATGGAAGACGAGCTCCTCCGTAAGTGTGCTATTTTGGGCGGTTCTGCCATAGAGAGGGGCGAGCTAGCGGACGGGGGTGAGTGGCTTGCTGGTGGCCTAGCAGATGGAGGCTCTAGGGGCCGGCGGACGGGGGTGCTACGGTCAGGGTGGACGCTGGGGCGTGCTCGTCGCGTGTGTGGGCGATGTGAAGGCGGACGCGGCGGGCTGCGGGGCGGGCTGAGGGAGCGCAGCTCACCAAGGGCTAGCGGACTGGGCTGAGGGTGTGATGGGGGCGCGTGCGTGGGCGAAAGTGGACGCCAGAGGTTGAGCACTTGAGCAGGCGTTTGGACACGCATGGCGTACCGGGCGCTAGATTAGCCGTTTGGAATTCACGGATGGACGACTTGGTACACTGTCACTCCAAAGTCCATATTTTTTTGAGAACATCGGGTTGGTTTTTATTGAAACAAAAATTTTACATTGAACCCCTTACAAAGGCACCCCTAGAAGAAATGAGAAATACATTGCAAGCTTGTCAGGGTGCTCCCGATGGTCGTCGTCGCCGTCGATCGATGCCGCCACAGCCCGACTATCCTCCACCTCCCGCTATGAAGGAATACGCCCAGGATGAAGCTAAAGGCTGACTCCCATGTCGACGAAGGAGGTAAATATTTTGAAACGCCAGTAAGTAGCACATCAAACTTGATGTGCATCGAACACGATGAACGCTCCAGCAAACGGCTCCTTGCCGTCTCTTCGTCGAAGTTGGAAGAAGTCGTCTGCTGCTCCACTGGTCATCCCAAATCGATGAACAACGACCCCATAAAGGGGAATAACCTCACAAGGAAGTTCCTACCACAAACTCCTTGGAGGGGCAAACGGACTCTAGACCAACTGGCTAGAGCTGCCAAGTTGCACCCCAGAGACCCGGGTTCGTGGCCTGGACAAGTATTTCCGTTCAAAATGAATGGGAATGGGGAATTTTCCTCGTGTAAAAAAAACTCCTTGGAGGGGCAAAATCCCGGTGAAAACTCCAACGGTATGAAAACCGAGTCTCTTCCGAACAGCAGGCATGTCGTAGGTCACGAGTTCTTTGTTGCTGATGATGAGAAGGGCACAGACGACACAACGGAGCACACAGAAGATTCAAGCGTCAACGCAGATGAAAAAGACGATGAAAAAAGTCGTCGATGCCGAATCTCCTGATAAAGACATCACCATGCTCCACTCACCCACAAACTGGCAGCAGAATCCGCACACCACCAATCTAGCCGCCGCCCGAGATGCTCGGAAGAAACAAAAGATTCTCGACAAGGTCGTCACCGAGAGATAATTCAACCCTAACCTAGATAGATGTACTCTATTAGGAGGGGATATGTACACCACCCACCGAATCTCCAACTCTCCAAGCTCACCGGCGCCACAAAGGCCACCGGCGACGAGGAGAGCCAGCGAATCCGGCGGTGGGAACGAAAATCGCCCTGAAGGCGCTACTATGACTGTAGCAGGGGAACGAGACGCTTCGAGAGTTAGACCTTGTTTAGTTTCTACCCCTAAAATTTACTCCCTATCACATTAGATGTTTGGACACATACATGGAGTATTAAATATAGACTAAAAAAGTAACTAATTGCATAGATTGCGACTAATTTGCGAGACGATTTTTTAAGCTGAATTAGTCCATGATTTGACATCGTTGTGCTACACTAAACATGTGCTAATGATGGATTAATTAGGCTTAATAAATTCGTATCACAGGTTACTGATGACTTCTATAATTTATTTTATTATTACTATTCAAATACTACCATATAACACCCGATGTAACGTCTCTAAATTTTACTCACTGCATTTAAACACCCCTTTAGTCCCGGCCGGCTGGGCTGGGCCTGGCCCCCGCATAGCCGTTGAATGCTGAGTGCTCTGCTTTGCTCTGCGCCCTGCCTGCTCACCACTAGCGTAAGAGAATAATACTAAAAAAAATACTAGTGTAGTGTGAGTTGAGCCGGTCGGGTCGGTCGCACTCGCAATCACTCCCGTTCTGCCAATACAACTAGTCCAGTCCCAACGCAACTGGAGCAGCAGCCACCAGCCAGAGCCAGAGCAGGGAAAGCTCCCCCAGTCACAACACGAGCAGCAGTAGAATACATGCCCCACTGCACTGGCCATCCAGATCCAGACCAGACTGGGCCTCGTTTAGTTGCCTGGAATCGACAGTGGCAAAATCACCATAGCGCACTGTAGCGCATTATATTTGGTATCGTTGACTAATTAGGCTTAAAACGTTCGTCTCGCAAAGTACAATCAAACTGTGTAATTAGTTTTTGATTTCGTTAACATTTAGTACTCCATGCATATACCGTAAGTTTGATCTGACAAGAAATCTTCTTTTTATATAGTGCCAAAGTTTAGATTTTGGGGTATCTAAACACACCCTAGTTGTATGCTGCTGCTGCTGCCTGCTGGTGGAGGATCCATATCCATCGTTCCATCCACTGTCCCCGGCTTCCTTCCCAGCTCGCTGTCAAGCAAAACAAGATGGATGCTTTTCGTCAATCGTCAGTTCGTCACAACCATGATTCACACGAATCCGCATCCGCATCCGCATCCGGAGGAATATCTACATGCATAGCATATTAGCATAGCTCGGCAACATGCGAGATATTCTCTAGATATTTATTTGCTCATCATGCCCACCTAAGAGCATCTCCAAGAGTATGGCTAAATTTGGATATGAAAATTGGCTCTCTAAAACAATTTAGCCTATCAAAATGAAAAGGTTCCGCAACAGCTTGGCTAAAGCTGGCTCTCTATTTGTTGAACCGGCTGCCACGTCATTAGGCTTGGATTAAACTCATACGTCATCACTTTAAAGCATATCATCGAGCACCTCGGGGGCATGGACAGCGGCAGCTCGGCGCCTCTGCTTGCTGTTGGTGCCGAAGGTCTACTTTGAGCAGAGCAGGCGCTGCACTTCCCTCCGCAAGGCATCCACCTCGCCGCACAACAGCAGCACCTCCTATACGCTCTCCTCCTGGTCAGTCAGATTCATTGGTGCTCATGGCCCCACGAGCAAAGGCAGGCACAAGCACACAAACATGCCTCCTCGTTGCTGCCATTGTGGCGGCGACGGACAATCTTGGTTTGGCCTTCATCCCAGGAGTAGCAGTTAGGTGCTCGTTTGACTTCGGGTGGTGGTACACTTGATGCCCGCGGCTGCACAGCTGCCGGAGCCTATGAATGCGTGTTGCTTCCATGACCGTTGCTGCTCGCAACTTGTTGCTTCATGGCCTAGGGGCATGGACGGCATGACGCTTGGTGGGAGCATGGGACGTGAATGGCAGTGGCGCTCGGCGGGGATGGGAGCATGGTCGGCGTCAGCACTCGGCGGGGATACGGGTTAGGACGACAACGATGCTTGGCGAACGAGGCCCACAACGGATGGGATGGCGAGCGAAGTCTGCTCGCTTTTTCTCCCGAGCGACAAAGGCGGGATACCGAGTTTGTCATTTTGGAGATCCGTTTGACGAGGCTGCTGGAGCCTGTTTTCTGAAGTTTTGCCAAAACCGAGTAGGATAGCCAGTCTGTAGGAGATGCTCTAACCATGGATACGCCACACTGAAACCATACCTGAATCTGAACCCAAAAAATGAAAACGAACGGGGAAGGGAAAAAAACCACGGTTTCAGTCACACATACAACACACGTTCTCACTACTTTGCCAGCGACACAGCAACACTTGAGAGTTAAACACAAGTAAACTACTCATTCAACCGAACCATCACTGCCACCACCAACAGCCAAATTAGGTACAAGACTAATAATCATTCGAAAATGACAGCCTAGGTTCCTCGCCTGTTTCTGCACTAATACAACAGGGGCTTTAATTCTTCTGTTTCTGCAGAATCTGTGCAACAACAGGAGAGGGGGTGGGATTCTATTTGTTCATCGGTGGGTTGCAACCCAAGGGTGTTCAATTACCATTACCATTACCGGTCCTGCACGAGAAAGCAGGACCAAGGCACAAGACATATATCGACACCCTACCGCCTCAGCACTGGCTTGTAAAGCACGACTGTCACAAACTTGGCCTTGTACCGGTGCGTGATCCCCAGAGCAACCACGGATCTTGTGTTCTCCTTCTCGATGTAAAGGTGGTTCAGAACCACGGTCTGAGGTTGAGGCAGCGGGCTCGATTCGTCTTGGCTTGGTGGGAAGCTCAGCAGCGTATGCTGGAGATGAGGTGGCACCAGTGGGGGCTCCCGGCCTTCATCTTCATTTCCAGGAATAGGGTTGTTGTAGCTAGAATCAGGTGAAGGTGGGACTTCAAATCCAACAACGTGGACCCCTTCCTGAATCATGGATTCATGGTTAGCCATCATAAGTCAGCCACAAAAATTTATGCAAGGTTATAATTCTGAGAGATGATTCTTACATGGTCATCCATGCCTTGTTGGTCCATATTCCAACAGCCTGATGCCTGTCCTGGAGAGATAATACAACATGTTCATGTTAGTAAAGAATTTAAAGAAAAAAAAACAATCTGGACAATGGACATTGCAAAAAAACAAAAAAAAAATCGAAACAAATGGACATTGCAAAATAAAATTCAAAAGCTAACTTAACATCAAACACAATAACTATAAATGGTGCATAATATTAGTCATCCACCAAAAAATGCATGGTGTATTCATATCATTCACGTGCGGGGGGAGGGGGGGACAATAAGATGAATCATGAATCGAATAGAACTGCAATCTCTATAAACTAAAGGGGCGTACCCAGTGCAGAGAGCTCCCGCTCTGTGCGGGATCTGGGGAAGGGTGTTAGTGGCAAGCCTTACACTCGCCTGTGCAATGCGAGGAGACCGCGACTCGAACCCGGGACCTTCCGGTCACAGGCGGTAAGACTCTACCGCTTGCACCAGGCCCGCCCTTCATATGGGGCAAATCTCTATAAACTAATACAAACTAAAAGGACAAAACAGGAATCGTCAACACCGACTTCAGCGTGCCTCTCCGATTCTCCACCGCCCTCCTCCCACGGGCGCCACCGCCTCTCCCCCAAAGCCCCCACCCTATCCAGCGTCCAGCCCAGCCCCCCACTGCCTTCCCGCTGACACCGACATGCCCCATCCTCCATGTGTGCTTGCACAGCCACTGTCCAGCAAATTTGCGTGACTGCCAGGGGCGGCGCAAGCAGATGAGTGCGGCTGGACCTGCCAGGATGGTGCAAGCGACAAGACAACCAGCCCTGTAGCTTGCTAGGATGAGCTTTGCTAACTGTTTTTGCATCCACTCGTTTTCTAGCAGCACTTGCAGAGCAGCACCGAGATTTGTCCTACCATTAAGAAAGGTTGGAAAAACTTCTATTCTATCATCTTCCTATTGACAAACAATCAGACCTTGTTGTATTTTATGGTCTGATGAACTTGTCTGTTTTGGTGTCAAGGTCTATAGAACAGGTAGTTCTTCTGGAAGTGTAGGCTTGATGTTTGTTGTTTACCTTCTCTATCTAAAGACAATATTAGTGTGGATCGGTTTGTTACAAGGTCATAGAAGAAAAGCATTACCTTCTATTTTATTTAAAGGGTTTCCTCTTTGAAAAAGCAAATGATGTGCTAGTTAACTTAGTTCTGGGAACTTCAGCAAATTGCAGCTTATTTGAATGGCACATGAATCTTGTAGTGGGACTAAGATTTGTTTTAATTTCCTGATAATTGAGTTTTTTTTTGTCCTTTAAACAGGCTATCCTATAATGAGACATATCAGACCATATATTCCATGAAACCTTGTGCTTATATATAAAAAAAATGATATGATTTTACCTGGGGCCGGGCTACTGAACTTTTGGACCACTGAAATTGTTGTATCCTTTTTATCTCTTTGAATTTAATTCATGTACCTCTTGGAGCACGTTCTGAAATTTCAATGCCCTGTTTGGACTGGATTTCTGGTGCCTACAGAACTCCAATAATTAGGAAACAAAAAATTCAATGCCCTGGCATCATGATATATGAATTAAAACATAATGTCATTTTGGTTGTTTGATTTGCATCAGGATTTGTCCCCGTATTCCGGTTGTGATATTTTTGGCACATGGCAACGCACAGGCATAGACCTAGGATCATGCTGAAAAGGTTTCTTCTGTTTTCGATAATTCTTGTGTAGTGGTCTCCAGTCAGAGCTAATGTTGATATTGTAGACAAGGTTCAAAAAGGCGCTAGGCGGTATCAAGGCGGTAACCCACCACCTAGAGCCTAAGCGAGCCTAGGCATTTTACATATATACTAATATACATATATTATCTTCTAAAAGAAAAAAATAAACAGCGGAATAGTGGGCTTAGATAGATAGAAAGGCCCAAGAGGTAAGAGTCCAGCCCATCTCTGTTATGACCCGAGCTACTACGTAATGCGTAGGAGTGGGAGGTGCTCGGACGAGGCTTGAAGGCCCGACGGCGAGCTGGCGGCGCCGTGCTTGGCGCCGGTGTTTAGAGTTCGTGGACGGAGGGTGAGAGCGCTAGGGCGCCAAGAGGCTAGAGAGATAACTCTAATCTCTGGCTGATCTCATTTGCTCACAATCGTTCAATACATAAGGACTCCAATTCAAAAGCTACCAAGTACTAACAAACTGCATGCTAAAGTTTAGGATCTCAAACAAACTCCTAATGACTCGACTGACTGACTGAACCACCATGGTGACCGCGATCTGCGCGTTCGCGCACGCGCGTCGCGGCTTTCCTCATTTCGCCGGCTCCCTGGCTCACGCTTTAACCACGTGCACGCTTCCTCCTCTGATACTTGTTGCCCACCATAACATCTCTCCCTCCCTGGAGAAACAGCTCGTCCTCGAGCTGGAACGTTGGATGAGCCTCACGGAACGCTTCAAGTGGCTCCCAGGTGGCCTCCGACTCCGACATGTTCGCCCAGTGAACGAGCACGTGCCAGACGTCGCGACGCAGGCTGGCACGCAGAACGCGCGCTGGCTGCGGAAGTAGACGGCCATGTCGTAGTGGAGGTAGTGCCGGTGTCGACGACGGCGGGGTGCCCCTGAACGGCTTGAGCACACCAACATGGACGACGTCGTGGATCCGGGCACCATTTGACAGCTGCAGACGGTACGCCACGGCTCCGACGCGCTCCAGCACCTGGAAAGGCCCGGCGTAACGCGGGCCAAGCTTGCCGCGGCTGCCCGTCGCCAGAGTTTGGGCAGGTCGGTGTAGCATGCGCAGCCAGACCCAATCTCCGGGCGCGAACTCCAAGCGACGATGAGTAGCATCATAGTGACGTCGAGCGTACTCCTGCGCCTGCAAGAGTCGAGCGCGGACCTCGTCCAGGAACGCATCCCGTTCCGCCAGCATGGTGTCGACGGTGTCGGTGCGCGCCGCCCCCTGCTGATAGGGCACGATCGCCGGCGGTGGCCGGTATACACCACCGGAAGGGGGTAGTCTTGTTGTGAGTGAGTGGTGCGCCGTGTTGTAACAATACTCATTACACGGAGCCAATCCACCACGCAGCGGGGACGATCACCGTCATGCAACGGAGATACATAGCAATGGTTTTGTTAACGGCCTCCGATTGCCCATCAGTTTGGGGGTGGAACGCCGAGCTCATGCGAAGGCCGGACCCTATAGCCGGAAGAGGTCGTGCCGAGGCATGTCCAGTCTGGCGGACGGATCGCGGTCCGACACGATGGACTCGGGGAATCCATGGAGGCGAACAATTTCGGCGAAGAAAACTCGCAACCGACGCTGTTGTGTATGGGTGTCCCAATGGGATGAAATGGGCGTACTTCGAGAGGCGATCAACCACGGTTAGAATAACACTTTTGCCGTGTACCTTAGGAAGTGCTTCGACGAAGTCCATCGATATGTCCGCCCAAACTTCGCGACGGAACCGCGCAATTTGGAGCGAGCCGGTGAGGTGCGAGAGCCGTTTTGTTGCGGCGGCATGTCGTGGCATGCCTTGAACGAAGTCACGCACAATCTGGCGGTCATGCTCGGCGTGAAATCAGCTCGGAGTCTCGAAGTGTCTTCAGACTCTCCTTCATGCGCCCTTGTGTGTGCAAGGCGCGATACCTCATCAACAGGGCGATGTCTCGGTATCATGACGCTGCCATGGTGGGTGATCGGTAAATCGATCACCGCCCGAGGGCTCGCCCACGTGCCTTTGGGCGGCGTCCTTCTTCCGTAGCTTCGCTCAAGTTCAGCGAGTTCACGAGCTCCCGTCGAACTTCATCATAAAAAGGCGAATGATGGTGCGATGCTTCGCCGACAATTTGAAACTCTTGGCGTCGCTACTGGGACAAGCGTCCGCGACTACGTTTAAGCGACCGGGCGAACTCGACATCAAATCGAACCCAAAGAGTTTGCTAACCCATTGGTCTTTGTGGAATCGTCGATAGACGCCGATCGAGATGAACTTGAGTGCGTTGTGATCTCATGCGGACGACAAACGAACGGCCCCAAAGGTAAGCGCCAATGTCGGATCGCTTGCACCAATCCGATTAATTCCCTTTCATATCTTTGCCCGACTTCATGTGTCGTGGGTGCAAAACTTGTCAAGAAAGCCAATGGGCGGCACCTTGGTGTAAGACAAAACCCCCCGTCCGGACGCATCACAATCCACGACAAAAGCTCATGCAAAATCCGGCAAATGCGATCTTGGTGCTTCGATAGAGCTTGCTTGAGGCGTTGAAAGCGGCGATGGTGACTCTGTCGATGGAATGAAGCCAACCACACCTTGTCGGCCTCGCGCATTATTTGGCGCGGAAGAAATTATCACACTTGTTGAGCCAATCCGGAGGGTCTCGCTTTGCCGTCGAGCGTGGGGAGCGTGAGCTTATGAAACTGGGCACCGCACCACCGTCCTCTGGATCCCCGGCACCGGGTAGACGGGCGTGTTGAATGGGGCCGGGGCGGCGATGGCGGCGGCGGGAAGGAGATCTGCGTGATGGAGTGCAGGCGGCTTGCCATAGTTGGGTGAACAATGGCCGACCGGATGATGGCCAGATGAAGCAAGCCCGTGGCCCGCATCCCGAACAGCGGCATCGCCGGGCACCAACGAGCCCGCGACGCCCATCGCCACCGCCATCCTCGTGGCGATTGACCCATCTGCCTCTGCGGCCGTAGATGGTGGTGGTCGAAGGTGTCGTCGAAACGCTGCGAGAGATGACCGCCTTGGAGGGACCAACGAACAATGGAGCAGTGGGTTGCGGTATGGCGGCGGCGTTGGTGGTGGCTGGTGGGGCGGTGGTTTGAGGAATGGCGGCGGAGGAGGTGACAGGGATGGGTGCGGAAGCTCCAGACATCGGCGCAGACCTGGCTGATACCAGATTGTTATGACCCGAGCTACTACGTAATGCGTAGGAGTGGGAGGTGCTCGGACGAGGCTTGAAGGCCCGACGGCGAGCTGGCGGCTCCGTGCTTGACGCCGGTGTTTAGAGTTCGTGGACGGAGGGT